ATGATCCCAGGTCCTGGGTTCAAGCCCCACATCGGGCTTTCTGCTCAGCAGGGAGCCTGCTTCCTCCTCTCTCTCTGCCTGCCTCTCTGCCTACTTGTGATTTCTCTCTGTCAAATAAATAAATAAAATCTTTAAAAAAAAGGGGATTTCAGAAAACTTACATACTTAGCCCCTGTCCTCAAAGACTTCATAATCTTATTTGCAAATGGAGTATGCATCCTCTTGATAAGACAACAGAGTATGGGTTAAGAGCAAAATGTGGGGGCGCCTGGGTGGCTCAATTGTTAAGCATCTGCCTTGGGCTCAGGTCATGATCCCAGGGTCCTGGTTCAAGCCCCACATCGGGCTTTCTGCTCAGCAGGGAGCCTGCTTCCTCCTCTCTCTCTGCCTGCCTCTCTGCCTACTTGTGATTTCTCTCTGTCAAATAAATAAATAAAATCTTTAAAAAAAAAAAAAAAACATCACTGAGGATGGGTAGATGGATAAAACAAAAATAACAGAACATTGGTAAATGTTGAAAGCAGGTGATAGGTACATTATGTTCGTTATGATGTTTTCTTCAGTATTTGTGTGAAAATTTCACAGTAAAAATTTAACATAAAAGGAATGTAAAAAAAAATATTCCCTTGTAAAAAATTACAAGGGAATATTATCAAGAAGAAAGCAGGTGTGTTGATAGTATTAGATTATGCAGATTTCAAAGCAAACAATATTAACAGAGAAGTTCCATATTTTAATAAGATGGCGCTACCAACAGCATACAACACTAGTAACATTTATCTAACCATAGCTCTGAAATATATAAAGCAAAAAGTGGTAAAATAGGGAAATTTTGAGGAACTAACAATCATAGTAATGAATTAATGTATCTTTCAGAAACAGGTCAAATAGAAGAAAGGTAGGTATAAGTATATATTGGGATAACATAAGTAATTTGCTTGATATATGTCTACATTTTCTTTTATTTTTAACCAGAAAAAGAACATTTTTTTCAAATATACATAGAACAGTCATAAAAATTCTCCAAAAAGTAGGACGTAAAAGACATTATAAAGCCCTCAAACTGATATCACATATGCCATACTCTCGGACTACATAAAAATGAAAATAGGGGGGCACCTGGGTGGCTCAGTGGGTTAAGCCTCTGCCTTCGGCTCAGGTCATGATCTCAGGGTCTTGGGTTCGAGTCCTACGTTGGGCTCTCTGCTGAGCAGGGAGCCTGCTTCCCCCTCACCTTCTGCTCCTCCCCCACTCCCTCTGTTGCTCCCCCTGCTTGTGCTTTCTCTCCTTCTATCACTCTCTGTCTGTCAAATAAATAAATTCTTAAAAAAGAAAAAAAAAAAGAAAATAGGAACCAACAACAGACAATAAAATATATAAAATGTTCCAAATGCATGTACATTAAAATACACACATCTGGGGCGCCTGGGTGGCTCAGTGGGTTAAGCCTCTGCCTTTGGCCCAGGTCATGGTCTCAGGGTCCTGGGATCAAGCCCCACATCGGGCTCTCTGCTCAGCAGGGAGCCTGCTTCCTCCTCTCTCTCTGCCTGCCTCTCTGCCTACTTGTGATCTCTCTCTCTGTGTCAAATAAATGAATAAAATCTTTAAAAAATTTTTTTTAAATGAAAATAAAAAATAAACTACACACATCTGAATAATCCTTGGGTCAAGGACAACATAACACTGGCTATTGTAAATGAAGAGGAAAATGATAGATAGTACTTCCATATGAAAACTCCAAGAGATGGGCCACAGTGTGATGATACCCAGAAGAAAATCTCACCTAAAATTAGGATATTAGGAAGAGTGAAAACAAATTACTTAAGCTTTAATTTAATCACCTTCTACCAAAGTCCTAATAAATACTCCCAATAAAACTGGAAAAGAGGAATTGATATAAACAAATGTTAATAAAATAAGTAGGAACAAAATCTTAGTAGAGATAATTAATAAATCCATGAGCTGTTTCTCTGTAAAAGAGTGCAGTCATTTTTTTAAAGACTTTATTTTAGGGGCACCTGGGTGGCTCAGTCATTAAGCATCTGCCTTTGGCTCAGGTCATGAACCCAGGGTCCTGGGATTGAGCCCAAGACCACCTGCTAGGCAGGAGGCCTACTTCTCCCTCTTCCACTCCCCCTGCTTGTGTTCCCTCTCTCACTGTATCTCTCTGTCAAGTAAATAATCCTTCTCCCACTCCCCCTGCTTGTGTTCCCTCTTCCCACTGCTTGTGTTCCCTCTCTCACTGTATCTCTCTCTGTCAAATAGGGGACGGAGAGAGATACAGTGAGAGAGGGAACACAAGCAGGGGGAGTGAGAGAGGGAAAAGCAGGCTACCCACCAAGCAGGGTTTGATCCCAGGACCCTGGGATCATGACCTGAGCCGAAGGCAGACACTTAACGACTGAGCTACCCAGGCACCCCAAAAGTGTAGTCACTTTTTAAGAAGATTAAAAAAAAATAGAGAAGATACACATAAACAACATTAGAAAGAAAATGGGACAAAATAAAATTTTAAACTCAAGAGATTTCTATGGTTATTTTGAGTAATGTGTTTGAAAGCCTTAATGAAATGAATAATGTGTTTGAAAGCCTTTCTAAGAAGACCTAAAGGAAGAAATTGCCACATGAAGGAAAGCTGGATAGGCCAAAAACCACAAAGGAAATGGAATTGGCACCACATACAAAAACCAACCCTAGAAAGATTAATGATTCATATGTCAAAACATAACTTTAATAAAACTGGTAGTAAAAAATATATCAGCAGATATATTTTAGACTTCATGGCAAAAGATTTCTTAAACAGAACACAAAAGAAATATAAAAGAGTGATACATTTGACTATATTAAAATTAGCACTTTTGTTCATCAAATGACAGTAAAAAAAATGAAAAGATAAGTTATAAACTGGAACAGATAAACAAAACATGAGCCTACAGGAGACCGGTAGCAGGAACAACTCTAAATCATTAGGTAAAGCATTAATAGGGGCACCTGGATGGCTCAGTGGGTTAAGGCCTCTGCCTTCGGCTCAGGTCATGATCCCAGGGTCCTGGAATCGAGCCCCGCATTGGGCTCTCTGCTCAGCTGGGAGCCTGCTTCCCTCTCTCTCTGCCTGCCTCTCTGTCTACTTGTGATCTCTGTCTGTCAAATAAATAAATAAAATCTTAAAAATAAATAAAGCATAACAAACCCCATACATATATGACAAGAGATACAAAGAGGCATTTCATAGAAGAGGAAACTCATGGAGCCAATAACATGAATATTATAAAATATGAATATCATACGAATAACATGAATGTTTAGGGAGAGAGGGTCCAGAAAGAAGGAACTGCAGATGCAAAGACTTTTAGGGATATCAGAGAATCCAGTGGAGTGTGGGAGTAGAGTGAGCCAAGATAAAAATGATAAGGAGATGAGATCAAAGAGGTGATCAGGGGGCCAGATTGCAGACCTTGGAGA